TTTGATAGTTTTCTCTTTCATGAAACACATCAACAGAGTTTCATGACGTATATGACGGAAAATGAAATTACATATTTAAAGCATTTCTCACGTGAAAAAACTCGAAGATTACACGTAATATGTTTAATTTATCTTCCATCCACATATTTATCTAAAAAAAAATAACGAAAACGGGACATAACGCATTTTAAACAAATTGAAAGAGCGGTGATAGAGTGTTCGTGAAAGGGGATTGAAAGCCATAATGAGGTTTCGTTTAACTAGAAAATCGACATTACTTACATTTAAAGCGATGAGCAAAGCAACGACGAGAAGATCCACAGCCAGCGTTTCCTTCCAAGCGTGCTTCTTTTTCATTATCATTTCTTGCTGATAGTCTAGCTAGGCGTTATAGAAATGAAGCGTTGAACGTTTGTATGAGAGAAACAAAACTCGAGTTCATTTTAGAGCTTAGAAATCAATGCATTAGGGATTAGGCAGACCATCCTAACTGAATTCAACCCTTTTTGAAGCAAACCAAGGTCGAAGATTTAATTGAACCACCCTATAAAATAGTGTATTCATGGTCACTTGTGGTCTGGAGTAAAGAAGTAGAGCTATAATGTGACCATTAAAGCTATAAAAATCTAACCACATTTTTTTTTAATTATTTACACCTGTGCCGTGCACAGGTTGCACATGTGGACACGACGCCACTGTGAATGCACTTGTGAATTAACACACACCATCATACACTGGTTCCACTTTTGCTCAGAAGAGGCGTTGCCGTTACTGTCTTCAGATCTTTGGCAGAGTTGCCAGTCTTCTTGGTTGGTAGTCTTCGGTAATATGCTACAAAAACCACGCAGGAACGAAAATCGATGGAGCTGAGGAATAATGAGGTAAATTCTACACAGTATTTTAAAGGAGCCAACTCTAAGCAGGTAATAATAGCAATTAATAATCAAACAACCATAAAGAGGTAAGAATGAATTTATTTATTTTAAATACAGTAATGACCCGATTTTGTCAGCCCCTGGGCGCTTCAGACTTTTTTCTTTCAATAATTTCACATAACCATAAATCTAAATTTTTCTCATTCATCGTTAAGAGGGATATTTAAAGTATACTTTGGTGCAATAGGTTCAAGAAGATTACTGAAAAAGGGCATGGGTTTTGTAGAACATTGGAAAACATTTTCAAAAGAGGGGGCTGACAAAATCGGGACATTACTGTGTTCCTAAATGTAAATGTATCACATATTTATGGTCGTAATCTAATACACACATTTGATCACAATACGAGCCTAAAAGCTGCAGTAACCTAGTGAGCACCATAGCTCGAGTCGTCTGTTAGTATTGTGTATCGCATGGAGAGCCCAACCAAGATGCTAGCCTATTAAGACTACCCAGCAAAAAAATGTGATATCGATCAACGTAATTCAAGCTGATGTATGAAATAATGATGTAATAGCAAAAATCAGATACAATATTACATCAATGGATGTAATTTTGTTCGCAAAATCGGTATACATCGTACAACATAATATAAAACCACCAGCGGAATGACCTCTGTGCAGCTGTTTGGATGTAATATTCAAAAAAAAAATTTCTGTGTACAGTTGGTCAACTCTCGAAAAAAAAAAAATAATAAATCAATAAAAAACTTGAAAACAATGATACCGTCATAAAATCAGCTTAGTTAGCTCCAACGCTGAGGTTTTGACAGAACTATGCTGTAGCTACCACAGTATTTTACATTAATTTGATCGTCCATATACAGTAGCGCGAAAAACATGCTGTGGTGGTTTCAAAACTTGACCATCTTATAGCGAATTCGTTATTTATGGGGTTGGAACCAGTTCCAACCCAGTGCGAACCTCAACCTGAGCTAGGTTTTAAAAACAAACGAGCTAACTGACGTTTATCAGAAAACAGGCAGACCCAATCTTGATACCCGATCCAGCTTGGAACTGAATAATAAACGAATTCGCTATAAATTGATCAATTGAAAACTGTGTAACGCGCCAGCCCGTCGATCTTCCCTTATAAAAGAAGGATGGCTTAAGCGCCACTCCTAAAGGAGACCATCCAACAGTTGGTAGCTTGCCCAGCTTTGAGACCTTCCTAGGGAGAGGATCAAGTTTCCCGAATTTCGGGTAGGAAGCTGACTGGCTGACTAACACGCGTTCGGTGTACTTCACGCAAGACACGCAAGATATCCCTAATTCCTATAAGACTTACACAAATCAAACTCCGACAATCGGCCAAAGACTAGGAACACGTGAACGGGGGTTATCATCACCGGACTAGCCCTAATCGTCCCCGTTTGCACTGAAAAGCTTCCAATTCCAGAGTTGCCAGAAAATTGGTCAGATTTGGGCTGACTACCCAATAAACATGAAATACCAAAAACTACAAAACGAACGCGAAGTAACATGAAACCTCCTCAAAAGACATCAACCAAACTATCTCTCATTGGTACACAACAGAAAACATTCAGTGTAAAGTAAACTGATTTATTCCAAGCAGGATCAACATTTGTACAGCTCTCTATTCTACCATAAAGCTCAAAGCACAGAAATTCAAACATATACAAAGACTATTTCTCGTAGCTTTGTTCCCCTTTTCATTGCCTAGGCCTAGTTGTTTGTCATCCTTTCCCCTTGCGTACTACCTATCTTTCATATCGTGTGAGATTATTGTATCCGTCCCATGTATTCCTCCTGTGTGCACTCTGCGGTAACTCAGCGATCGATTGCTTCAATGGTTGTCTTCACATTTCTTTAATTGGTTATTCTAATGGCGGGAGATTGATGGTTTACGGGATAACTATATTTGAGTGTGCCTCAAACGAGTCACATGGCCATGGACGACACAAACAAACATGCATGCATTTTCTACTCACGACCTAGGGTTTACGTGGTGTCCTTTGGTGGGGAGACTTTCGGCGGTACTGAAGTGGCTTGGTGCCCCGCATAAACGCGAACCATAAATTGACCTTACCTAAAATGGTTAAAAATTGTTTATAATCCCTGCTAAACTTTAACTGAAATGGTTATGAAACTTTACATGAACGTTTAATGATAAAGTTTCAACCTTATGTATTATGGTTTTGTGGAACTGAACCTTACAAATAATTGGTTGTTAAGAACCATTACCGTTCCAAATTCTTGTTTTCTCCATACATTTTCGGAAAGAGAACTATATTAGAACCTTTTAACTTATGGTTTGAGAACTTTAATGGTAATGGTTATGGTAGTCAGTAAGGTCCACGAATGGTTTTGTAACATCGATCAACTTTATGTGGAATATATCGCGAATTGGTTGCCTGTAATTTACTGATTACCAATTCACGATATATTCCACGTAAAGTTGAGCGATAATACAAAACCATTAATGGACCTTACTGACTACCATAACCATTACCATTAATGTTCTCAAATCATAAGTAAAAACGTTCTTATATAGTTCTCTTTCTGAAAATGTATGGAGAAAACAAGAATTTGGAATGGTAATGGTTCTTAACAACCCATTATTTGTAAGGTACAGTTCCAAAAAACCATAATACATAAGGTTGAAACTTTATCATTAAACGTTCATGTAAAGTTCCATAACCATTTCAGTTAAAGTTTAGCAGGGATTATAAACAATTTTTAACCATTTTAGGTAAGGTCAATTTATGGTTCGCGTTTATGCGGGGCACTACTCCGGCCCAGAAACGATCGCGGATGCGACAAGGGCTGTTGATGTGTCTCCCTCACCGATTCGCGGGCTTACGCGACAGCGTGGTACAAACGCTCGTGCGTACGTTGGCTGAACGTACTCTCCTCGACGAATGGCCTGCCTCCCCAGGGCGCGACTTGACGATGTAGCCCGGGAATCTTTGCAACGGATAGGTGAGGTCAAAGAGTGGTTCCAACGAAATGGTGGTGTGTCGGCAAACGACCTGTGCTGCCACGAATCTATGGAAATAACGACGTATATTTCCCCTCTTAGTTTACGCACAATCTACAAACTTTGCACTTTACCTTTTGCTCTAAGTCACACGCTAACCACTTACCGCCAAATAGCTAATCTATCTTCGCTCACTACTGCTAACTAGGGGAAGGAAAATCTAGTTTAAGTTAACACTTTATCGAGACCACATGTTACTATTCACCTTTTAACACACACCACGGCACGGATCAAAAACTGACCACTCTTGCCTCTTCCACGTATCAGTACAAAGTGGACGAGTTAAGGCTAAGTGTTGTGTCCTCGGATATCGCGCTTGGTGACATTTGTTCCCGGTTATCGCGATTTCAGACGAAGGCCACGAAACCGATTCTCAAAATTGAGCATGCGACAATTCCTATAGAAATAGTGACATCTCATTCCACCGAACAAATTTTAATCGTCCAGCCAAATTCCTCTCCCGAGTTTGGGAAAGTGCAAAGCCGAACAGGAAAGGTCAATGCATTCCTAATTGTTTTAGGCGCAGGTCGATGCACGCGAATCGACGCGGTAATGTGAACAAGAAGCTATTGGGACATGTGCTTTGCGCTTGTAGCTAACGTATACGGGAACTCATTTGAACAGCCACTAGCCATAAATAGTGTAACTCTTTTACCCATTCTAATAATGGGTGTTCCTTTGCGGTGAACACATTTAAGATTTATTTGGAAAAACGATATTTCATATTTTAATAAATAAATAACATATAACAGAATAAATAATTTATAGAAAACATAACTATGATTGTAGTTTGTAAATGTTCATTGATAATGTGCTAATCATAAAGCGTACTGGCTACAACGGTACTCGTCGTTGCCATCAATTATTTGATATGAAGTATTTTCACAAGACCCCCTTGTCTCGAAGAATTAAAATGAGTCTAAATATAGTTTAAAAAATGATATAAACGCTTTATTTCTTAAACATTGAAATGAAAATGATAAGCCCAAGCTGATCAAAGATTACACTAATTGAAAAAAAAACTAATCACTATTAGTTCAGAACCAAAGCATTATTAATCCACAGTAATTTTATTCTCAAACTTACACAAACAAATTACAGTCAATTTCCGTTCTTGAGAACAACGCTCGATGCATTAGCTATTTGCGTTCCATAGTTTTGCATCAGTTAATATTGTTCCAAAATTACCAGCCCTCTCTGATGAATGGTCTAGTAAAATCAAGAATAGATTTAAGTGTTCGATGGATGTTGTGGAAAGCACAGTTGTTAATAAAATTCATGTACTGTAAAACACTGTACTTGAAAACGCGATTCTCAGCCTTACATATCGATCACTTCATTCGAAAAGTGGGGATTTTCGATCGCGTTTGTAACTTTTTCCCAGGAATCAACTCCGCGCTGCTGCCGAGCCCCGTAGCACCCTGCTTCATTTGTCCAAACAGTGCCGTTTTGCGCATATCGTTACCACCCGCGCTGGCCAACGGCTGCACATTTGTTACGCATCCCAAAGGCGTACGGGGTCCTACAATACCACTGGCTTTGCGTGCACTCAAATCTGACTTTTCTCGTTTTGGTGTAACCACCAACGGTGTATTTGTATTTTCATCCTGAATGACGATCGTTAGCTTGTTTGTCGTAGTTTTCTCCTCCTCCTGCACGTCGTCCTTAGTTTCCTGCTGTGTTACAAGTGGTTGTTCGACTTCTATTGGATCCTCATTTTGCTCTTCTGCTGTAGATTCTTGGATTTCTTCGAGAACGATCGGCGTACGCAGAATGGCAACCGAAGGCGATCGAGGATCCTTGCTACCTGTATCATACAACTTCTGAATGATGCAATCGATGTCGGCCTTCAATTCAGTATTCAAACTGGTATCACTGAAAATGCTACCACTGCCTGCGATGGAATCCATGACCGGCGCCATCGAAATATTCGTGGAACAATCTTTGAAGGAGAGTTCACCGTCACTATCGATTTCCTCGTATTCAATCGAGCTGCCTCGTAGGCTGATGTTTGAAGCATTCGATACATCCAGTACGAGCGGAGTCCGTAAGAATATACTCGGCGACCGTGGATCCAGGACCGATTGTAGCTTTTCACTAACAACTCGATCGGGTGTTTGAGCGTCGTCGAGAATTTCGGTTAAGTCAGCCGTTAGGTCCCTTACTTTCGTGATGATTGGCTTGTCAGGAGCGGTCTGTTACGGCACGATAAATTAATGAAACATCTTTTTAATACTACCGTTTTTTTCTTTCTTACCTCTGCTCCGATGGGACTACGATTGATGTTTATTGTTGGCGAACGAGGATCAACGGAGTTGTTAAATTGTTCATTTGACTTGTCGATAGGCGCAATTTTACTATGAAATATACCCATATTTTGAGCTTCAATGTAATCTTTAGAATAATCAACGGACTACAGGTTTAAACTTCGCTTAGCGCTTTAAATTTGCTTTAGAAATTTGATTTTTAATTGCGATCGGAGCGCTGACCGATGACTGCGAGTGAGGTTGAAATAAAAATGCAACGGCTTTTTGCGGGTGGTTGTCAGAAGGGTCAGAAGCAACAACATAAGATGATGGTGTTGCTATCAGTGGAAGGGTGACCTGTTTATCAAAAAAGGGGGATCTTCAAAAATTTGCTATAATTATAGTACGATCTGGTACACTGTACCAAAACCTCTTTCTATGTTCGAATGAAACCTCAGATCATTCAAATCGAAACATCAAAAAAAGGCCTATGTGCAAAAATTCAGAATAACAATATCCTTCAAAAGAAATGCTTACCCATAAAAAAAAATCTAATAAAAATACAATGATTTTCATTGTCATTGTAACAATGATATTTACTGTCAAAATATTGGACATTTTTGTGCATTACCATAAAATCACAACGAAAGTCATGGTTCACAACAATTAAAAACATGGTATTTGAGAAATTTACAGTAAAAAAGGGGGATTGTTAAGCATCTTAACAATAAAAATGATTTTTCTGGAACAAATTTGATCTCATCACACTAATTTTCATTGTTTGAGCATTGTATCGTTAAAAATCGAAATTTATTTTTTCTCCCGTACAACAATTTAACAATAAATTTTAATGTACATGAAATTCAACAGTAAAAATCATTGTAATTTCGTTGTTTTATTATAATAATTTTTTTTTCGGTTACTTTTAGCTATAATCAGACGATCCGCTCTGGTTCTCTCTTTGGTCCCAAGCTAATCGATGCACCCCTCGAAACATAAGAAAATCCACGAACCCCTCATTTTATCTGTCAAACTTTCACGCGGGGACTTGAAGTATGTCTCCAAGTCCACAGGCAAAAATGTGCGTCCCTCTTGTTGCTCATAAACTGACTGCGGCTGTGGAATAGTTCTAGCGACGTTTTCATCACTACCTAAAGCCCCACGTTGCGAGAGCATTTCCAGTCGATGGTGTGTTATAATGCAGTTCTGCAGTTCTGCATTATAACACACCATCGACTGGAAATGCTCTCGCAACGTGGGGCTTTAGGTAGTGATGAAACTGTGGACTTGGAGACATACTTCAAGTCCCCGCGTACATCGTACGGGTTAGGCAAAAATGTGCGTCTATCTTGAAAAACTGTCGCATTAATGGCCCTTCGCTCATTTTCAACTTCTATTCAATTTTCATACTGCCGTACTCTAACGGAACTATCCACCTACCCTCTTCTAAAGATCATTCTCTAGCTAATAAATCATCACACTAAAGCTTCATGTTAGCATTTCCAACCAACTCTGGAAATTTGTAATCGGTTATATCACAAACGAAGTGACAGACGAAGCGGCTCGAAAATTTTGGTGACGCACCTGCTATTGCAATTTTTCAGTGTACCACATGGCAACACTACTACTACTGGATTGTACCACATGGCAACACTACTAATGGATTGTACCACATGGCAACACTAAATTGTACTAGAATGTTTTGGTTCTACACTCAAAAAAATCCACATGTTCCAATCATGTGTTTTCAAATATGAATTTTGCTAATTGCCAGTCACCATGATATCATGTGAATTTCATTCGCATTTCATGGGATCAATGTTCAAAAATCACATGTCCCACCTGTCGGTGAAATCAAAACAAATCACACCATAATTTCGTGTGTTTAGTTATTAAAATTCATGGGATCTTATTTTACTGACAATAATTACTTTTACCAGTAGCGATCAATTTGTCAGCCGGTGTGAAGAAGTTGGTCAGTTCTATATGAAATAGAACTTTATTTTTAGCTTCATTAGATAGATTTTCAGCCCTTTGGCTGGATCATCTTTAAAACAGAAAACTGATCAGGAATGGTAAGTAAATCCTATTTAATAACTGAGTATAACATCAAAAACTGAAAAACTTTATATCTCCATAACTGTCTTTTACAGTATCCTTGGGTTCCTACACTTAAAAAAATTCACACGTTACCCTTATGTGTTCCACACTTCGATTTGCGCAAATTGCTAAACACATCCATTTCATGTGTGAATCTTATAATATAAATTATTCCCGAACACTACAAGTTCAATTGTGATACACTTGGATTTCAAGTGTCTCACATTTTGTTATGAACAGTCTGACACTTAATCATCAAATTTCCTTCATTCAAAAGCATATTCTCGATCATATCTGGCTCGTTTATCTTATTTTTGATAATCGATCAAAACAATATTGCATTTCATTTAATCATTAATTCATTATAAATCATTATTAATTCATAAAAGATAAGAAGAAGAAAAAAACACTGCAGCTCTCTCCAATCACGTCACTCCACCAGGACCTATCTCTTTCACTCTACTCTAAACTGAAATGCATAAAAAAATGACAAAATGATACACTCTTTGCACACTGTCAAAGATCATATTGCACACAAAATCAACTATGTTCAAATCAAAACAAAAATACTAGCCCATCTGGTGGCTGATGGCACAATAAGCTTCTAAGAAAATTCTATTACAGTGAACCACATTATTTTAATTGATTTCTTCGCCAGTTAGTCGTCTGTCACTTCGTTTGTGGTTTCATCTTAGTATTCATCTTTGCTTTAAGTGTTAAACTCAATGTATACGTATACGCAAAATGTTTTCATCAGAAAAAAATACTTCATAGCGGAAAATATTGCTGATGAAAACAATTCACTGACACAATCACACTTTAGCAATCTATGGTAGTCCTGAGTCTGGATTTTAAATCGACTATAAAGTCGAGAAATCTTTTTTATTCTTAATTTTATTCTTTGCTATAATTTTTACGGAGGAGCCCCTCGGATTCTGTAGCATAACTTTTTGACACAAACGCAAAATTAAAAATATTGTTATGTTCATGGTGGGTATATAAATGGTGATACAGCTTTGTCACTATATAGGCGAGGAGGTCGCGGGGGGGGGGGGGGGTAGTGCGGTTTTAGAGCAAATTGTAAACAAACTCGGTCGCTGTCCCATACAAAAATCCAACATGGCTGAATCATGAATTTGACACATTAGAACACCTATATGTAGTCACCTTGGTTATGTTTAGGCAGAGTGAAAAGAGGCCTGGCCACGGGGGGTGTTTTATGTTTTCTTTTTCGTTTGTTTTTCATAAACAGTGTATACGATTGTTGGTATCGATGTGTATGTGAGCGTCAGCGGGCGGTGTGGTTGTGAGGCTGATGGGACGAACGGGAATGGAAAACGCAGATTTTCCCCCTGTGTCACTCTCACTGCTGAATGTCTGTCCTGTCATGCTGTTATTAGATAAGTCGATCGTCGTCGCGTAAAGACAGACGTCGTCGCCGCGCTGTTGGCAGATTATTTTAGTGTGCAGCAGTGTTTTTGTTATTATATTAACTGAGCTGGATAACACATAATCGGAAAGAAAATATCCACTAACGTGATTATCGTAAAGAAATTATCTGCCATCTTCAGGGTTTGAGTGCTAACTAATGTAGGTATTGGGGAAGAGTAGTAAAAGTAAAACTTTCATGCGAAATACCAAAAACCGAAGTTTGTTGACAGAAAAGTAAAAACAGATTCACCATCTGAAGGCAATTATGCCATTCTACAAGTATCTTCTTTCACCGAAACTCTTCAAAGAGTACGACGGTTCGAAGGTAGGTTTCCTTTCCATCTATTACCTACTTATTATAAATAAGTTTCAGGCGAAAGCAACGAAAGCGTGATGAGCAGTATATAATTCAATATTTAATTTTGGTTTTCTCGTTATCAGGATTTATATGAACCCGGAACGCTAGAAAAGTATGGCGATCAACTACTGGCAGCTGTAAGTGTGACAGATTTAGCTTAACTTTTTTTTTAATTACTTTGCAAAATGTTAATCCTGTGAGCGCCACGGGGCCAATCCAAAGCGGCCATAGGCTGTTACATAAACTCATTAATTCCCTCTTCGCGTAAATATGTTTTTTTGATCCAACATTGGTCTGTTTTGTTTCCCTCTCTATGCCCACTCTTTTGACGGCCCTCGTGCAGCTGAATTTGATGTGGAGTTTTGGATACTACACATCCCCACTGTTGATTACGTTTCTCTACCGTCGTGGATACTTTGTGGCGGAGTCGGTTGGTACGCTGGCCAAGTTCACAACCGGAATCGGACTACTGGTGGCCGTTTCGCTGTGCATGCGTGGCCTGGGCCGGTCCATGAATGTAGTTTACGTACGATTCGCCGAGTGTCTCGAGAATGCCAAGCGCCACGACAGAACCCCGGACAGCAAAAATCAAATCCGGAAGTATGACTTTGACTTTAAGCAATGGCCGGTGGACTTTACCGTCACGAGTAGTGTGTAAGTATAGTAGTGATGGGATGTATATCTATTCAATTATTAATGACGACAGTAACTCGCAAGCAAAAAAGGTTACACGACGCTATTGCTAGATTATTATTCATGAAGTTCTTTTTTTTTCCCTACAGACAACGTGCGCAAGTTCCTCGAAACAAGCCTTTCTGGATCTCATCATTGCCGTGTCAGATTGCGGCTTATTTGGCGATTCATACTTTTGGAATACGTATGATCTATCCGGGTTCGGTACAATTGCTGCAAAGCTATATTGGTAAGCGTCTACATATTTAAACTTCTCGAACAGTTGATTGAGCATTACATTCTTAATTTTCGCTACAGAACCTATGTTGCTACAAGGCCGCACCAAGCTGATGACTGAAGAGAGGGGCAAGCGTAATAAAGTGAAAACAGCTGACAGTAATGAAATCGATACCGTGTTCATCGACAATCGCGACAAGAGTTCCAATGGAAGTACATTGGTGCTCTGTTCCGAAGGAAATGCAGGCTTCTACGAGATTGGTATAATGTCTACGCCCATAGAACTGCAGTATTCGGTTTTAGGATGGAACCATCCAGGGTTTGCTGGCAGTAGTGTAAGTTCTTTGTTCCGTTATCTTTGTTATTAGTAAATTAATGAGTTTTGTTTTGCAGGGTTCTCCCTACCCAGACCAAGATCAAAACGCAGTGGACGCCGTAATGCAGTTTGCGATAACTGATCTTGGTTTCACCCCAGACAACATAGTCCTTTATGGTTGGAGTATCGGTGGATATCCAACGCTTTATGCTGCTTCACAGTATCCCGACGTCAAGGGTGTAATTCTTGATGCCACCTTTGATGACGTGCTGCAGCTGGCTATACCGAGAATGCCGGAAAGCCTTTCCAATATCGTCAAAATTGCCATCAGAGATTACATGAATTTAAATCATACGGAACTGATCTCGCAATACAGTGGTCCTGTGATGCTTATTAGACGTACTGAAGATGAAATTATTTGCTCAGAGTGAGTTTTTTACCCTACTGTGGTTGACAGACAGTTTATATAATTTTTTGCATAACTTTTAGAGATAACAATCTTGCTACTAACCGTGGAAATTTCCTACTGATCAGTATGCTGAAGCATAGATTCCCCAATATATTTAAATCAGATCAGGAAAATCTGGCCAAGGAAATTCTAGCAAAGCCGATTGAATTTATGAGGAATGGTAAGAGATTGCTCGGTTTAAAACTTACTTTTTTACAAAAGTATTAAATTACTAACCAAAAATCTTACAGACTCCGATGATCTCTGTCTCTCGCTACTGATGTCCTACCTGACAGACAACGGCAACAACGGAACGTCACGGAGTTATCCCATTGAAATCGGCCAAGACTACACCAGTGAGCAAAGAGATTCGATGGCTAAATTCCTCGTAAGTTACATTTTCCGATCTTCCATTTATTCATAACTATTACAACATGCGATCATCTTCTTCCTTTCTGTAGATGAAAAAGCACCTGCAAGATTTTAAGTCCACTCACTGTACTCCGCTGCCCGCGGAGTACTTCCAGCTCCCATGGGAAATTCCTAGCGATACGGACTTTGTGTTCACCTAAATGCATTTTATTGGACACTAGGCTCTTATCCAAATGATCGCAAACTTTGCAAAAATGCACGCCCGCATAATCAGCAACTTGTACTACGTTCCAATACTATTCTCAACTGCAAATTCAGAGAGCCCGGAGATTGAAGAGTAAACAATATTAGCGACAGTGTGTTTCCTTAGCCTAGAAAGGTAAGTTTGTTTTCTTTTATCGTTTTGTATTTCAAATTCAACTCACTCTATTCGGTGTATGACATTATTGGCAGTGGGAATAGCAACTATTAAAAAAGTTTATTCAAAAATGTGCAACTACCTTATACAAATATTTAAAAGCTGATCTATCTAAAAAGGGATCCAACATTCAAAGCTATGCTATTAGTAGCAATAGAACATTCTCAGCCTATTTATTGGTAGGTCCTAAGACGATTACATACAATTAACGAACTGGTATAGAAAGCTTGAAATAGTAACTCATTGACATCCTAACCAGCAGAATATCAGGACATGCCATTCGGTAGAAAGATATGACAGATTGAATGTAAGAGAAGAAAAAACAATTAAGCGAAAAGATCTTATTTTGTGAAGAAATCTTTTAACTGCTGGAAAATGGATGTTAGAAAACAAGATGGAAATATAGGTACATACATTCAGTAGTCTTCAGCATCAACAAATGTAGATGGCATAATCATGGAAAATATGAGAAATCCTTTGCTGTTATAGAGTTCGTAGTTTACACGAAAAAGTGCTACGTACGATCATTTATTGTTCACTTCAACGGATCATCTTGTTTCTACTTTTCTCTATCGAGGCCACGATTCCAAACTTGCCCATAATCGCATAATAATATCAGTCCCATATGGATAGGAAATCAAGCAAAGATGGGACTGATATGCGATTATGGGTAGAGTTGGTCCTAAGGTCCTACTTATTTTTTTCCGATACTTGACAAAACTTGCCCCTCCATCTTATATCTGAAACGCTTGTCTTTGTGAGTCAACTTAACAGACCCCTGCTCCCCACTGGATGTGTACTGAAGTCTCAAACAACTGTGCTAAATTTCAACGAATTTGGTTATGATCTGGATCTGTGGGAGAACTTTAGAGACTTTGGGGCAAAACGGAATGAAACTATTAATTTACTTGTCAAAAATTCAAAAATTGCTCCATTTTTACCAAAACTGGGATTTAGAAGGGGAAAACTATGTAGAAGAACTTTGTCGAAGATTGCTAATTCATTTGACTTCCTGTTTCCCATCATTGTCCCATACCAACTTGAAAGTTCTCCCGAAAATCTAGATCGTAACCAAATTGATTCAAATTCAGCATACTTGTTGGGAACCTCAATACAAATCGAAGAACAGTGGAGACCCACCCTAATACTCCCCATCCGCTTGAGGCAAAGAAGTGTCAGTGGAATACCGTACCATCTATGTTGAAAAGTGATGTAACGGCTCGGTAATTTTCTACTTTTCGCTTGTCTCTTTTCTTGGAGATCGGGAACATAAAAGAACGCGTAGGAAATTAACTCTGCTATAACAAAATATCGAATAGCTTAGATAGCGGGTTGCTAAGCTCTGTAGAGCCTCTACTCAGTATGCTAGTCGGGATTCTGTCAGGAATAACAGCGGTTGAGAATGTCAGCTACTGGAATGGCAAAATCGACGAGGTCCAACGTAGTCGTGAAGGCATCAAAACAAAACCCATCTCTGTGAGTGTTTCTGGCCTCTTCGCCGTTGAATCGTTGAAAACATTCTCAATGAGGACCCTTAATAAAGAAATAACAACAACAACAACAACACATTCTTCCCTGGGCTTTGGCAAAACCCTAAGGTACACTCCAAAAAATCTTCACGTTGATGCTACGTGAAAAATCACGTAACCCCTTAAACACCCCACTTCAATCATTTTCACGTGCCGCAGATCAATGTCAAATGGAATTTTGATAAAATGTACGTGATTTTCATGTCGGTTGATACTACGGGAATTTCACGTAAAAAGAATGTGATAAGCATGTACACTCTACAAAGTATACACGTTCAACCTACGTGAAAAATCAAGTAGCCATTTCGATTACTTCAACTTCCATTATTACATGATGGTAGTGAAATTGACAAACATACCATGTAATGTTCACTGGAGCTGATGATGAAAGTGCTTACGTGAAATGGGTTTACGTGATTTACATGTATGAAAAAGTTATTCAATATGGCGTCGACTTCATTAGAGGAAGAGTTGCTCTCATTTTTGGATTTCCTAACACTAACACTGCATAAACTACACAGCAAAAAAAAATGTAATATCGATCAACGTAATTCAAGCTGATGTATGAAATAATGATGTAATAGCAAAAAGTAGATACAATATTACATCAATGGATGTAATTTTGTTCGCAAAATCGATGTACATCGTACAAGGTGATATTACACAATCGATGGATTGACCTGGTTGCATCAGTTTCGATGTAATATTCAACAACTTTTTTTGCTGTGTAGAAGGTGTTTTTATACTATTTTACATCATTCGAAGACCGCGCAAATAATTGTATTTATTTAGATTTCAGAGGCTGGAATCAATATCATAACTCTGAATAAGACAGCGCAAACAGATATTGCATCAGAATGGTCCTGATCAAAGATTTGACGCAACGAAATGTTCAGTGTTAATTTTTTAATGGCAATAGAGAAATGCTTGACGTTTAATTACAAAATCTAAAAATGTTTAAAAATTATTTTCTTGGTGTTTTTAGATCTTGTAAACGTTGCTTCAAGATCACGTAAACATTCTGTGAAAATCCATTTCAATATTAGTAAAAATCAATAAACAATAAATGTCAGTAAATATCATTTAAAAATCACGTAAACATTGCGTGAAAATCTATTCCAAGTTAAGTGGAAATCACGTAAAATTTACCTTACTGTTCACGTTGACCACTAAATGCGAATAGTTTTGGCTACATGACATTAACGTAAATGTTACGTGAAAAGTAGTATGGACGAAAGCTACCTATGTTTTCACGTAGATCGGACGTGCATATTTTTTGGAGTGTAGTTTAATTAGGCTACCAGGTCCCAGGCCTGATCTGGATCTTTACCACATTGGAAAGATGCACACTAGTGTTGCCAGATCAGTGTTGATGCTTACCAAAAGTGCATTTGAACCCGCTTATAAAAGCATATTAACAGATTAATCATCACCGTACATTGTTTATTGCTCTGTACTAATCATAAATGATTAAGCACAGCATTTGATATTTTAGTAGGAATGCTGGATTTAGTCACAGGAGTCACAGTAGTCACAATAGAAATCATTTTTTTTTTTTTCTTAATAAATTGTTTATTGAATTGGATTTGATTCTATGGGTATGCACGTTTGGAAAGTATCATCACAAATATTCTGCACTCGGTCTACAGTTTGTGGGCGGGAGCCGTTTTTTGTTTTGTTTTTTTTTTTTAAATCAATTTATAGAGTCAATTCTTAGAAATACAAAACGAATGACAAACCAAGCATTTAGCACAAGACCTTCAAGAAAACTAACTACATAAATTCGAAGGATTTTCGACTCCGGACAGCGAAAAGGAGCCTTTCCACGGAATTTAGCAGCTAAGTAGATAACAAAATATTTATAGGTATTGCAAAACATGGCCTCTATACGTTTACTTTCCAACTTTTACTAATACTACTGTTACTCCGACTATCCCCTACTTGAAACACTATTTCTCCCTATCCGGCATCTTAAGCAGGATTCAATTGATCCCTGTGATCAGTGATGGAAAAGTTCGCAAAAACTCACTATGACTCGCGAACTTTTCTCTTGGTGATCTTCTTGAAATATCGCGAACATTTCCAACATTGCTTGTGATTATTATTCTATGGTGCCAACCTTTTACCTCTATCCTTGCGCTGTATTGACAGCGATGTTTTACTGGAGACCTGGCCTTATGACCCCCTTCTGTGCAGTGAGGGTTAGGGCGCGTTCTGCCAGGTTGGTCGAGACAGATTTCATGTGTGAGTAAGTGATGACACTGGACATTGTTATGTGCAATTCACTTTAAAAGGTGCGTTTCATATTTCACCACACATAGTTCCAAAGAGCCTGAATGAAATGTGGCGCTTGCGAAGATCACTTGAAGATACGATATGATAAGTGCTAGCGGCGCCGGTGGTGTGGTGGTAAGCGTGATTACTTCACACCCCAGCAGATCTGGGTTCAATCCCAGTCGGCGCCGACGGGATGTTCTGAGGCATAACATCTCTGATCACGTCTTCCTTCGGAAGGGAGGTAAGGCCTTTGATCCCCGGTTCATAAGTTGATGGGTCGACAGGTAGGGTTAAGGTGTGGGAGCTGACTCCCTGTCGTCGGTAGCATTGGTGCTCAGCGCGGAAAACAAGATCAACGGAAAACAAATCAAGCAAAAAAAAAACAAGTGAGTGCTTCCAGAAATTAGATAAGATAATAAAAATGTTTATAAATCAAATTTCCTTCTGCCTCTTCCGATCCATACAATTGTCATCCAACAATCTCGAGAAGACCACGAGCAATCGGTTCAAATCTTTTAATTTTAGATTTAAGACATTAATAATGTATAACGCAAATGATAACTTGGCTCTGTAAAGTTTATTCGATTGAGCCTGTACGAATAAAGTAATAAAAAAAATGAAAATGTGTTAATTGTTAGTCAACAAATTGAATGTTGCATTGAATTACTTTAAATCGTGCTAAATTTAAATGTTCCCTCATTTCACATCCGTTGAACCACTCTGAACGGCCATCCCGTTGTTGTTATATAACAGCATTGCTATAATAAGGGATCGTCCATGAGTTATGTCACTCATTCAAGAGGGAGGGGGTTTTGGAAACTGACAAGCCATACAAAAAAAAAATTAAGGTCCATACAAAAAATTTGACAAAGTGGGAGGGGGGGGACCTTCCCTAATGTATATAGGGGAAATGGCTCTAATGTTGGCCTATGGATCTAAGATTAGGCACATCGCTAAAAATCTTCTATTTATCAATTTTATCTAGATGAACGCGTAATTGGGACGGTACTAATGGATATTTTTGGTCACTATTGAAAATTTACAGGAGTGCTGAATTTATGTATGGACCCAAATTAGGGGCATTTAGGCCGACATTACATCCATTTCCCGTATATAAACACAAAATAATGCTGGGATTGGGAGGGACCATCAGGGAACCCAATTGAAGCGATTTGGGTGGGGAGAGTGGAAATGCCAACACACTGTTGAAAATATTTCGTGGATAAATGGCGGGCTCTTCTCCCCTCTCATTGAGACATCTTCCTGTTTGGGAGCTCGTCTTTTTGATCAATTATGCGATCATATTGCTGGAAAAAGATTCTTTACTGTTCCGTAGATGCGTATAGGCTACCGGACTTCCGTGCTACAATGGGTGGTGGACCACTATCATGCATTGCATACTGGAGATAGAAATGCAAATATGTCTAAAAGTTAAGTAACTCTCCGCATAAACAAT